TCACGGCTGTCAAGACTGAGGGAAAAAGGCAACAAAAATTCAACAGATCTGTATAGACAAAATTGGTGAATTTCGCTAGCTGAAAGAGAGTACAGGTTGAAAAAATATACATGGTAACGTGGATGATAGACATTTGATGATTTAGCTGTTCAAGGTGCACATGAGAACAAAAGGCACCGAAGTAAAATGCAAAATACACAAACCGAAAAAGTAACACTCCTATCACATTCATGTCACAGAACAGCGTGTGTTAATCTGACTAACATTATCCGTGTGGAACCGGATTTCCTGCAGTAAAGCAGCACCCTGATGACTGTACACACCGCTTATTTGTCAAGCCAAACTCGGAAAAGAGAGCACCCGATACTTGCTGCGCACTTTTCCAATGAAGCTTTTTTCCTCAGTGTGGATTTCTTCTCCTCAATATGTTCACGGAAGTGGACATTTTCTTTTCCAAAAATTCTCCTCGATTCGTTCCTTTTTGAATTCCCAAAACTCATATTCACAAAAAAACGTGGAAATTTTCCAAAGATCTGATGAATCAGTGGTGATAGAACGAAGTGTCAGTCATGTTGCCAAAGGCTGTACGGTTAAACATGACCATCACCCGGTTTCCTAGTTCATATTAATTCAGGGTAAAATATTATTCTGTGTACTTTCACCCATCGGCAACGAAGGAAAAAAGTCTGGGATGAAATCCATGAAAAGCATCATAGAATACCATTTGGCATTTGACTTACTTATAAATTATGATTTGAGAAGAATTATTATGTGGATCCGCCTCAAAGCAATATGAACTAGAAATAAGGTTGCAAAACACGTGTGATAGTGGATCTTTGATCTTGCGGCCCTGAACACATGTGCAACCTTCAGCAGCCGCTTCCCTATCAGACAGCTGTTCAGCTAACACGGTGGGCCACTTATCTACTTGTGTTTGTTGCGTGTTTCTCGTGAGAAAATAGGTAGAATGAATACAACGTATTTGACTTTCTCACAAAATCAACTGAGTGAGTGGCAATCGATTTTATGCCAGTGGGCCGACAATGGATGGAACACTTTTCTGAATAACCTTCCCCAAAGGAAATTCGAGGCATGGGTTGAACACATTAATTTCTCCATATAACAGATGGCAACAGATAGCAACGCACTCTGGAACTTTACGACCAAGCTTCTGCATTGCAAACGTTTACGTAGATTAGCCTGCAAAACGCGCTAGAAAAGCATCGTAAAGGCCGGTCGAAGTAACCGCAAAATGGCTGTAACACTGAATAAATTCTCGTTAACTAAGAACTTAATTATTGTGGTGTTCACAAGAGACAGTTTTGCGCTTGCATATCGCATACACGAGACACCGTGTTAGAGAGTAATAAAAAAACTTTGATTATAGAGAGAAATGGTGATGTCTTCAATTAAATTTGCGTCCACTTCTGAAAGCATATGGGAACTTAGTAATTGGAGTCCGTTTTGATTCTTTGGAGCTAAGAAATTGTGGCGAATCAAAAAATATACACGATGTTTGCGGAAATATTTGCAGTGAAATTTGCTGAACTCTGCAGCAAAAAAGAAATTTTTTTCCTTGGGAACATGACAGAAGGTCGTACTCGAAAAGAACCCTTCTTGCTAGTTACCGAGTGAACTAAAATACTACATGGTTGCGCTCCTCATACAAGTGACATATCGCAAGATATCCAAGAACCCTTTTGGTTTTTGTACGAGGAATGCATGTGAACGGTGGATCACAAAAATACTTGGAACAATATACCATAGTGTCTTCATTTGAAACGTGATTTCAATGAGTCTAAATCAATCAATGTGCTGAAGCCTCCAGACATGTGGGTCTCATTTTTTTTTACTCTCAAAAACCTGTGACGCTTATTTGAGTCCTATGTTCTCCTCTTTATTTACTCGATATTTGTCGGAGGAAGTACTGGTTGACTACTGGCATCTAGTTCAGATCACTGTAAAACCGAAGAGAGGAGATGCTGAATTTCAACGGGCCTATGCCAGTCAGACTGATGATCTTGAGCCTGCTTATAATATCTGGGATGTTACCAAATTTCCAAACCAGAAACAACGCTTTACTAGAAATGCTTTATCCTATGTATGTAATCAGAAATCAAATTAAGTAGCCTTCACTTTTTTGTTTTAAAATATTTTCAATAGAAAACGTTTACTATTCATTTAGGTCACAGATAAATATCTCCCATTTTTTCCAACTGGATAAGAAACTAGTTTCCGAACCGATCCCATTTCAGATATAGTAATGGTCATAGATGCTCTGCAATGTCTATGACCACCGGAGTATTTCACGGTGCATTTTGACCAGCATTACTGTTTCCCTTCCTCGAGTATGGCCCTGGCATCAGTACATCTTTCTTCACTGATACACACGCCGACGATATTGTAGTCAGTTCTGAATTCGGTGAGAATGCGGAAAATAACCCCTTAAAATTATTTCTCACCAGGATGACAAAACGTTCACCAATTTAGCATTGGGTCGCAACAAGGGTGAAGTCGTTTTTTAATTACAGTCTAAATCCACATTACAGTCAAATTATCCAACACTTCCAACAGAAATACCGAACGGGGAAAGATTCCAGTGCTGTAAACACTGGTGTGTATATTTCATGCGATCCAGCATGTAGCGACCATGAAAATAAAGGTTTTCAGGGCAAGCAGGCTGACATTTTGCGATGATCACCTCCGATTTCTTCGAGTACGTTCTCAACTGATTTGTGTGCTTATTTTGTATTGAGTGTAGCGGTAATAGGTTTACTACTCCCAATTTATTTTCTTTGTCAATGACTTGGTTCAAATCAAGGGTATTCTTAATCCATTTCTAATTTTAGGAAGATATTCTAATCTGAGTTGTTAGATTTCAAGGAGGAAATACATTTCCCAGAAAGTACATTACTTTTGGTACTGTACTTTCTCATAAAGCTTACCAGGTTAACTCATTTGTCCCTCTCAATTTTGCGCCAATTTCCATGCTGCTACACGTAGTACATTTAAGTTGAAATAATGCCGACTGTGAACAATGTGTTTAGCTCGGTAATTCCCTACCTGTTTAGACTGCTTGTTCCGAAAGAACGCTTTGCGAACGTTTTGCGAAGAACCATTGCCTTAACACGGCTGTCTATTTATTTCTTTCATAATTCACTGCCAAAATAAATCTTTCGATTCAATCATCATCATATTTTATGACCTTTTAGCTCTGTGGTCAGAGCAGGAAACCAATATTTTTTCACTGGACATGTACTGTTTTTCAAGCGTGTCAATCACATGCCAGACTCAAAATTTCCTTGTTTTGCTAACCTGTGAAATTTGGTTGAGTTTTATTAGTTCAGCCTTATTCTTTTGTTTCAATTTTCACTACATTCTCGGGGATTACATTTTCGCATGTTCCGTCATCAATCTTTTCCAGTAATCAGCAAATGTTTCCGTGTTTGTTATTTGTGAAAAATTAACCGTCAAAGGCTCCACATCAGGGGGTATCTTTGATGAGGCAAATCTAATAAATCATCCATTGTTCTATGCGGCAATTTTACTAGGTCATGTTTAAAATTTCAAATTTTTGTTATACTCTTCATAAGCAAGAAGCTCGGCTCCTTTCCGTTCTTTATTCTTCGACCGCCCATCGAACAAACTGGCTGTAACTTGGGCTTTGACTTTACAGACCGAAATCTCATAGACTCAGCATATGGTATGGGTTAAACGAGCAGATTTCATTCAAATAAGTATGATAACAAGGTGGCATGTTAGGACACAATTCTGTTGCATTCAACCAATTTGGATTGCCAAGACTACCGGAGTTTTATTCGATTATTTCTCTAGTAGCTCACTGCAATCATATGCAAGTTTTCGATGGCAAAACACAAACATAGTTTTGATGCTTAAAGAGTCGTTTAAGCTCATTCTGATTCATACTAAAGCAGGACTTTCGGTGCTCAAAACGCTACATATTGTCACAAGTCGTCGGTGTCGATGGTAAAACTTTGTATTTCGTTACCATCCGTTGACTTCAGTAAGAAAAGATCCCTGGTACCTAGTCACTCCGATTTATTGTCATAAACATATTGATAAGGTTGGGTGAATGGTGATATTGACCAAAACTATCATAAAAGCCTACTGGTTCACTCAGAATCCTAGACAACCCATCCGATCAGTTATTCTGATTGTAATTGAGTTGGTTGACTAGGCCTTGTCCGGATTCGCTTTTCTATTTCGCTGTTTTCAATTGTTTGTCGAATTTTATGGACAGGGGATAATGTGACATCCCTCATCTTGTCCCTGGTTCACAGTAGATGATACTATGTTGTCTACTAAATGAACGAGGCCGTCTATTGGAGAAGTGTCATTCAGTATGACCGCAACCATTTTATGCGAAAATAGCTGGATTGGTTGGATTGTGTGCATTTAGAAATAGACATACGGAACAAGAACGTTTATAACAGAATGAATCCAAAAAATAACGTTTTACGTAATGAGACCATTTGGTTTCCTCTGAATGGTACACATTGAACTAATTATGTCGGTTTTGACTGAACGTTCTAATAACCTTGTGGGGGAAATATCGAGGTCAATTATTCGAAGATACTGCCGACTTCTACCACGAAAAATAACGCACATTAAGAGCCTCGTTTTCAAACGTGAAGGTGAGTGCTCACAGCGGTAGTTATAACTAGTATTTTGCATTCAGAACAACAGTAGCCTTTTGGTGTTACTATGAAAATTATTCTTCCATTTTCCTTTTCAAAGGAAAATAGTGTTATATATGGGTTATGACTGGCGCATTAGGATGATACACGGGGACTCACATGTCCACAAATCCAGTTTTATTACCCTAGTTTGGTTCACAATGAGTCATACTCACTCCACTTTACAACATGTAACAGTTGTGTACTGAACTGTCTTCCGTTGTCACTATATAATGATCAACCTCTGTCTGCCTTTTAGAAAAAGTCGCGGCAAAACCCGGGTAGGGTCCAGGATAACGATTCTCAGTAAACAAGAGGGCAGACAGAAGTTGAGACGGTGAGAAAGCGATGCCAAGTCACTGGGCCATGCGGTGGTGTGAAACAAGCGAATCGGGTACCTAACAAAAAATACACAGAGTCATGAACGGGTAAATTACCGGGAATAGGTTGAATTCCGTGAGGAGGAAGCAAAATACTTGTAGAGTCAGTATGAAAACCACTCAGCAGAGGATCAACGGACAGGAAAGAAATGAATGTTCCATGGAGGATAGCATTCTTTGGAAACTGCGGGATCAGTACTTAGGACGGAATGGACACTTTGTAAAGTGAATAGATGAAGGCAAAGGTTAGCACTATGATACATCACGTAGTGAGGGCGTGCAACTCACGACTGAAGAGCATAGAAACACTGTACAGATGGGTCATTCATTCTAGGAATCATTTGCAGTAGAGCTCCATTAGGCCCCCAACCGAACTGGAACCTAAGGGAAACGATTGTGAGTGGAACGCCTTAGCCACCGGTTTATCAGGACTGTCTCCCAATGGATTTTCGGATTTTAACATCAAGTATTGCGGATTCCCTCCGACGGTGACTTCGAAGGTAAGCAGATTATTTTCCACCCAACGAGCGACTTTTACGATCGACGGCTTCTTATTACGGACCAATGTATGTCGATTGCTTTGTGATAAGCAACCCATAGGGATTGTATGCCATATATCAGATTTATTACCTTGATCTCTGGTAGTTCTTTTCCATGAACCCTTCGAAATTCGTGCTGATCTTTAGTTAACAAAATTCAATTGACACAGAACTGGTGAAATGAAAATTCAGCATTACTATCGTGACAGCAGTGCAGTTCTGTAGCTTAACTCCAATTTCCACACCTACCTGAACATGCCGCCAAATACCGGTGTCATGAGGCTAGTAGCAAGCGCTTTTCGTGGATGATTTCGTACTAACACAAATTACAGAAAATCTGGCACATATATTTTTACCAGTAAGTTTGTACCTTTTGTTGTCCAGGACGATTACTGGATGTCAACCAAAGATCCATGCAAACAGAAGTCTTACATATATATGACCCGATATAAAAAAAACACTCACCAAGCGGGAACGGTTACTACTCACTCAAATCGGGAAACATTTGTCTTTTTGAAACCGCACTGTAGCTCTCGTTTCCCATTGTTATCCTCGAAATCAGCTTATGGTTGCAGCTTGATTTCATCTGATTTGTCCACTACCCCTCCCATCATTGAACGCAAAAATCAAACAAAATGTACTGTATCAGTGTGCTGGTTTTGTAGTCGACCACATACGGATCACATTACCGAGTTAAGAGAGCGAACTCTGGTCACAAAATGTTCGGGAATACGTTTACAACTGCGGCCAAATATTGTGGCGCTATAGGTCTTTGACGAATGCAAGGTGCTACTATCAATATGAAATGCGCGACAATAGGTGACGCTCAAGGCTTCATATCACTCAGAAGGACATCAAAATGAGCCAAAAAGAACGAAACTGTGCCATAAGGGAAGGATTTTTAATCGTTCTTGTTGTCCTGAGCATAACAAATGGCTTCAAGTACATTTTTTTCACACTAGTGTTACACGGACCATTTGTTTCCAGCTCCTTGGCATGACACTGGATTTTCTGGGTGATTTTCCTGGCTTCGGCTATATATTATCTCTACGTATACTCTCAATCACCGATTTGCATGTTATATTTTCCTGCGTAACGAGATTCCATGAATAAGTTGACACTGATTCATTTAGCAACAAAGGTAACAACGGCCAGATTACTTATATTGTAATATGCATTCTAATGTGTTTACCCGGAATGAAAATTCAAGTGCTCAACAACATGCTTGAACAGGGACGAACTTATTCATTCCAAACCCCTACCCCTTTTCGGTGGTTGTTTATTTGGTTACCAATACAAAATGATATGTGAATGATTGTTGTTTTTGTGAATTTGAAAAGTATACCGTCTGTCCTAATAATTCGTTATCTTGATGAAAAATCCAAATTCGTGCCCATTTTGGTTTGGTTCTTGCAAACGAATGAGATATAGGAACCCATGTATACAATAATTTGGAGAACGGATAAACTGTCTACTACTTTACATTCGGGCTATCGTTGAGTATTAGCACAAGGTACATCACAGTGTATGTGATCATGTGCGGTAAAAGTACGTGAGGTACGCGTATTAACACTATGCCCATAATATACTGGGAAGGCTTCACTATGTTTTGAAGAGAGGTTACTCCATTAGAGCAGTTGTATCACAACAGTTCACTCAATTTACCACGCGGGTTTATTCTGCAAATAGATTCGCTTTTGAATATACATATATCTTTTCAGCACCATACATTTTCGAATGGACCATACAGGGTTATCTTCAACAAATTGATGATGTACAAATATTTGAGAGAAATTGGCAACATACTGCTGAGAATTATTCAAAATGATACAACACTGGAGGATTGCTTCAGATAATCAAATCGTAAATTTTGAGAAATAGTCATATATTTTGAAATTTTACAGAAGAAAATATGAGTACTGTCAGCTTGATTGGAAAAAGGTCAGACAGTAGATATTATCGGGGAAAATCAGAAACGGAGGCGTAGATGTTGAGCAAAAGAAATATTGTTCGATTACATAACTGGAATAGATGCAGCAATTCATTCATGAGTGTGCTTACCTTCAAGTGATGGATGGGCAAACAAAATGAGCGAGAAAAAGAACCAGATCAATACTTCTTGATAACTCTCAAGGGTTTTGAAATCTCATCTCTCGTACACATGATGGACATATTCTTGGCACAAAAACAACGTTCACAGGGATTATATGCGATGAAAGTCGTACCTTTATACAATACAATTTAAGTGCAGATATAATTCCAAGGATGGTTGCGAATCTAATCAGGTCCTAAAAATGCATTTCACATGCGGCAACCGCACGAACTAACGGAATATCCTAATAAGTCGATTAAAATATACCACCAAACAAATAGTATTCACTCTCACTCAGAAAACGTACTTACCGCAGCAATCGAGGGATTGGTTGATGGCGCAACAAATGAAACTTTCAACCTTCAATTGCAAGAAATGGAACAATTGAAAATTCCCACGTTGTTCTCAAATCACTCCATATCAATATCATTATTACTACTGAACAAACCAAATATGTGTATTATTTCTTAAATATTGGTGTTGGTTGTCCATCATTCTACCTTTTTTCAGGACTTGTTGATAATTCTGCCGTGCCAATGGACCGTTTACTCGAAAATGGCTTTCACTAAACTGTTCGATAATCGTTTTAAGTTGTGGAAGTATCACACAAAACACATTCAGAATATCTGTTGGCAAAGGTGCCGCAATACCTCGTGATCTAATGGCATGATTATGATGAATAATCATTCACTGAACCATAGTCTACCATTGTTACCTAAATAGATTACCTAGATGATTATCAAAGGTTTCTTTCGAAACCGCAGAATCCGATGTAACAGATTCCAAGGAGATTTCTTGCACAGCAAATTGTTCAGTGCCCTGTTGACCATTACTAATAATGAGACTATTTCAGACCCCAGGTAATAACTGGCCGCCATTATACATTAGACTAGCTTGATGTATTATATTTCCGAACTAGAAAATCGATGTTAGCAATGAAGCAAATTCTTTGTATCCTTATTTTCGCTAACAGATATGATTCGTTATTACCTCACAATCTTTGACCTTTCACTTCTCTGAATTATCAATTACATTTATTCGTAGGCTCTGAGTAATGAATAATGCGGCCGAGATAATCGATTATGTTATTGGCTTCGAAGCACACCATGCACATATGATTGGTGGTATATTTAGTTATTGTCCGGAACTGGAATACATTTCGTCACTGAGTTTCCCAATATTAGATGATAATCTCGCGGGTAGTTTGAGTAGGAACAAAGAAAACGTACGTGAATGCTCAAAACTACCGTTGTTCAGATGAGCGATAGTACAATTTGTGGTACATCAAATCGTGTGAGTCAGCTGCGAATGGACCTTTGAGAAATATATGCAAATAAACGGGTCAAATCGCAGAATACAGAAGTAAACTGGAGTAGGAAATGCTTTCATGACTCGAAACCTAGCCAAGATGATTTATAGATAGGAAAAATACTCACGGATCGAACTCAAGTCGAAAGATACCGAATCACAAATGTTTAGTTTACAAATTCAGGAAGTAATTCACCGATTCCAACTTACGGTGTCGATCAGTATCAAAAGATTTGGTTGAGTTTTGCATTCATTTTGACATATCTTGACTAATGCTTGATGGACATGTTCAGCACTTCCCAGATATTTCGGGTTATGTTGGCATCGTTCGAATCGATTGTATAAAGATTGATCAACGGCACACTGAACAGTCATATTGTGGTTTTTCTTCTCGATTGTGCATCGCTTCGAAAGGGCTCCAGTTGATTCAATCAAGAGGGTTTGACAAAAGAAGGTGGCGAAGATATACATTAGGAACATTTGACTCGATTTAGTTTTTCTTCGCTAAGTTGCGATCTGATCAAGCGTCAGTGCCAGGTTGGTTTCGTGGTTCTACTCTACGTGGTAACCACACGGCAAGAACAATTTTTTTGTTGGCAGATAATTTCAATTTTCATCCAATCAGTGACCAGAGTTTGATGGCCTGTCCTTCTTTGTGCATTAGTTTCAATCTACGTGGGCGTACGCAAATGTTTTTGTTTTCAGGCTGGGTTTTGGCCATTTATTAGTGAATACTTCCATATTAATCCACTTTACATGAAATGTGGCTCTGTTCCAGTTTGAACGTGTGGACCCTGATATCGAAGGTTTCAATAAATGACACTATTTGTAGACAGTCACATTTCGGATACACAAAGATGTACAACATGTGAACCACAAATTTCAGAAAATTCAAACATATGACACAAAATTAGAGTACAACTTTTCTACAAATGTGTTGTTTCACTACAATATGGTAGCAAAACACTGACCTGGGGATATGGTACCAATTGCTTTACTAAATGGGATGCATCTAAAATGTGAATATGCTTCTTGGTGGGGAAATCACGAATTCGTTTTAGCATGCAGTTACTGTGTATTATTTCCAATGGTTTTGTGGACACAACTCATTCACTGTCCTATGCCAGTTGAACAATCGGTCCAACGAAATACATGAATGAGTTCAAGAATACACGACAATTTATCACGATAACACGTTAAGCAATCAATTTATGAGATATCACAGGATAAAGCTAAACTACAGCTGAGCGAAACATCGTATTATTATGAAAACGTGAACGAGATTGAAATATGGGTTCCAAGTTTTTCTAATTTGAGATTGTATACACAAAAAAGTAGCACGAATATGCCAGTACTAACATTCTCGAATGCAAGATATAGATCATTTGTTATAATTGTGGGTGTTGGTTTGAGGAACTCTTCAAAACTTAAAAGAGGGTTTTACTGTACCACAATATTTTACAATTTTTCTCTGAAATTATTATGTTCAAATGACAAAGCACAATTTCTGGGTACTCCAAGTAGCCGGAAAGTCAGCGGTTCATTTTTCACATAACTGTGGGGAAGAAAAATACACGCAACCACTCCAGAACTATTGGTACATAGTTTGAAACCTTTTTACTTATTCTTCTGCATATAAGAATCTTTCACAGACATATGTTCTTTGTCAGGTAACTGTTTGTTTTACATCCTACATATTCTCAAGCGAAAAAGGTTTGCAACACAGGATTATCTCAAAGCGAGTATTTAATTCAGCAAGTGAATGAATCAACTTGAAGTCATATAATATGTTGGAGAGGTTTATGCGAGACTGCAACAATTGGTAACAGGCGCATGACGTCAGCATTCTCGGTAATTACCAGAACTGTAGATTTTTGAACTGTTTGGTGAACCGGTCTTTGGATGAATCTGTTTTACGCGTGTCCCCTTTATTAAGATCAGTAGCTATGTACCTTTGAGATTTGAGCACCGCCGGGAGGCTCAGACGTTGACTGATGATCGATTCAATCGCTTCTGCCAAAAACTGATTTTCGTACAGCTTTGGTTAGCACACGTTACGTCATTAGTGTATGTACTGGTGGTACATTGATATTGAAATAATTATTTATTAGTCAGTTCATGGTATGGCTGTTATTGAGTGGACAAAAAAGATTGGTATGCTCGTCAGTACAAAAAAGAACAGTGGCATGTTCTGTCATGCGTTCTCAATACTAGCTTGAATAGTTTCTTAAAACCAGCACTGTCCTTGATTTCCAGTCGCTGATGTGCGAATATCGCGTCTAAGGCTAACACATGAGCTTAGTTCAAATTCGCAATCACGTGACACTATTTCCATCAAGGAAATTTTAGCTACTTTCCCCCAGCCTTCGATTCACTGATGTGCATTTGGACGAAACAAATGAGAATGCTTTCTGGTCGAAAAAATATATCAGGTAATTCTACTGGGTGTTTACGAAAATAATAACACAAGCAAGGAACAATAATTGAGCAAGAAATACTGTTGAACGACTCTCATGATTGTGAATATGCTTCGCGTGCTTTTTGGGAATATGTATTTTGTCTACTTAGCACATGACATTGATGGCTATTATAAAGATGTGACCTTTTTACGAAGTAAAAGATGCGAATTTGTACAAGCAGTGTATTCATGACTGAACAAAAAGGGGCTGCATTAGCACTGCAATCGCTGTGTGATTCATATATATTCGTTGAAACATTCTGAATGAATGTAGAACCTCGACAACTTAGTGGCCAAAAAAATGTAAGTAGAAATGAATCACCCATGGTGCATTGCCGATCACATTTGAATAAATAAGCTTGAATTTGAAATAAATACATCATGCTGGGGCAAGAAGGTACAATGCCAATGACAGCGTTAACGAGGCAAAAATAGTATTCCCCTACTTTTCGGTTAGCGTGCGTAACACTCCACATGTTGCATCAGTTTTTGACAATGTGTCCAGCTCCGTGCGGTCCCGGCATATTCATCGTCATTTGTTTATGATCCAGCTTAAGCTACTGCGGTTACTGTTAAGCAATTTGATCAAGGTGAAGAAAACACACCGATGAGGACTGCCGGCATGATTGCTTCTGCTTATTCACCGAACCCGGTTTGTGAGTTTAGAGAAACGTATCGGATGTTGGTTGAAAGGATAGTTTCCAGGTTGACTCAGTAATATACCAAATACCATGGATATACACGGTGTGAAAAAAACATTTTGATGAAATAATTGTGCAGATCCAAAATGATGAAGGGAAAAACCAAGCGTGGCATCCATGGAGGGCATTCGGTCATAGTCAAGCTGAAAATGGATTCTATTGACTATGATGTGCGAACTATTTTCATTCCGGGAATTGACCCTTCGTGTGAGTAGAATACTAGTAATATGATCAGTTACAATGTATCTGATGATCCACAAAGAGGTAATAGTGCCGTTGATTCCCTGCACGCTTTCAAATGTTGAATGGATCGTTCACATAGCATGCATGATGATTTTACAAAGACGCCTTGCCTAATGATTCACCTGACCTTGTGTGGTGATTTGTTCATACCAGAATATTTCGGAATTCAAAATTCTAAGTTACTTCACGCATTGAGCGACTTAGTGAACATCATTCAGCTACCGAGAACTGTCACCACCTCCGAAGTGGTAACTGACTGGATATTGGCGATTGAAATGTAACATAATAAATGCGTATAGAATAATTGCAAAGTAATTCGAACGGCTGAGAAAATAATTCAGATTTTCGTGCGACAAAGTGAAAACAAAATCAAATGCCAAGGCAGTAGTCATACGAAGAATGAGTGCAGCATTCGGACTAATCGAGGACGAAACACATGCATACTTAGCTGATCACGACCATCCCAAATTGTGTGCTCCAAATCATTGAGGGTTCGCTGGCCGCGGGTTCACAACAACGTTGATATTCAGAAAATGATTGAATTTATTTTTTTCATTGCTTCTCGGTTCATTACGGGTATTTGTATTAGTATATCGATCGTTATCGAAATTTCTCGACTTTCTATCACCTTACGTGCAGTCGAAATATTGACACTCGGAAAAACTGAGCAAGAATTTGATTGTCTGCCGTGAAAATCAAGCTATATTCTCGAAGTTTACAAATAACGTATTGCTCCTTTAAAGGTAAATAAGAAGACTCACACGGTATTGTTCCCGTCAAACACACTGCAATGGTTAACTGCAAACACAATTCCTTGTTTACATTTAGAACTTGCAACTAACTTCCATGATATTTAGTCCATCTTTGAACTGGTCTTCGGGGATATTCCTCCTAATTCAAGTAGTCCCGTCCGCTGTCCGTTACGAGAACGGAATACTTTATCAATGGGGAGAGTGAAATATAGATCGTTCTGACAAGACAGAGCCGCGTTTTTGGTAGCTTCCTTGCACCTCAGTCCGCCAGAAAACATATCGGTTGCAACAGCGAACATAAGTGAATAAAAGGGAAATAACCCTCATCGCACAAGAGATTGTCTTCCGCTTTGGTCAGCCTATGATATCGTTGTTTCGCTTTTCTTTTCCTGACATTTAGATTTGTCCGTTGTGTGTGTTTTGGTTACTTCAAACATTTCGCGTGTCATAGATCGTTCCGTTCTTTATGCATGTTTGCCTGTCACTCTCCAGAGAGCCCTGTATCGTCATCATGATTTCACCACTGTGTAATCGGCAGTAATTTATCCTCATAAACTTGTTCAAGGATACAAAACTGTGGGGTAAGCCTAATCCAAGTAAGACAACAGACTTGTTTATTTGATCACTTCTAGGCTTTATTATGGTCTAAACACTGGTTTCAACCCTATATCAATATATACTCTTCATGTTAAACTTGGTATGTCGCTAGCTGTCTCTTGTACGTTTGTATGATGCAATATTTTACAAGACATAATGACCATTATTGACTTCATCTTCGGTCAAGTTTATGTCTCCTTGAGCGACAACGGTTCACATGTTGCTTCCTTAGCGAAGGTTCTCAAAGCTTTGTTGTGTAACCAGTTATCCCAGCAAGATTTCAGTGAACATGGGACAGGATTTTTCATGTGACACACCTTCACCACCTCGAGGGGTCTAGTCTGCATAGATAGAACAATTCTCCACCGACCATGGGTTTGGTGTATCTGTAACTGTGGATTGAACAGCCCTGGAAAATAAAGTAGCAGATTTGAAGACCAACTCGCCAGGAAGAATGAAACAAACCACCAAAAGAATTACGGTCATTGGAAAGATCTACATCAGAAAGATTCGTGCAAAAGGCTTCTATCAATGTTTGGTTAATGGTAACAAATTTCAATAACAGCCAATTCACTAATTCGAAAAAACAGCTGAATACTAAGTGCATGTACTGGTTCCATTGAA